GTTGGAGTAATCTCTACAGTTTTATAAGCCATCATACAATAATAGGAATATTACTGCCAGCATAAGAGCCATCCACTGCTTCCATTTTTGATAAGTCCTTGAAAAAAAGCTGCAGAAGAAGAAGAAAAATCAATACGGCTGCTGCTTGTTCAGATTTATAATCTCAAAATGTCTCTTAACAAGTTTGACCATGATTGTGAAACACGTTGGACTGGAAGCTGCATCCCTGCATGTCTGAAACATCAGGGAGATCTGAAATCAAGATGTATTTGACAAGCACAGGCCCATCGTGTCTTCAATAAATACGTGTGCATGCATAAACATCACTCAATAAATATGGTTTTGTAAAACATAAAGTAAAACCCTAGCATGCTAAAGGAAGGCAGCCACTGGCAGATGGAAATAAAGGTGGAAAACATGCAAAAGAGGATCAGTTGTTTTATCTAAATGGAACACAGGGTGGTTTGCTTCCTGAAATCCTGGGACTCCTGTTTTTTTAATGATTTGGCTGCTTTGATGCCCCTCCATGGTCAGAATATCTTAAGAGTGTGTGCTCCGAGGCTGAATATAGCAGGTGACACTTGAAATTCACTGTATAAATATGCTTTTTTTTTCCTGACTGCGCTCTGCATTTCCAAGCAGTTGAATTTAAGTCTCCGCTGATTCCCGTGCCATTCACTTTCTGTGTTTGAACCAGCTGAGGGGATCAACGTCAAACACAGAATGAAATGAATAAAAGCACTTCTGGCTTTTGCTTCTCTTTTTACAAAGCACAGCATATATGTAACCTGACGGTCCCCATACTGTTCCTGTAGTCTGGTTAAATAAAACACAAGCGTAGCAAGGAAAACAACATTCGACAGTCTGAGCCAAGGACTTTGCAAAGTGAGAAATACCATCAAAATGTCCTCACTTGTTCACAGTTATTCCAACTTATATCCAATTAAACTTAACTAAAAATAGGGGGGGAAAACTTGTTTTGAAAAGAATGTGTTGATGTGTATAACAGGAAAAAATAAATAAATGAAACTGTAAAGAACTGCAAATAGTTCATGTAAAGAAATGATAAAACTTTGTTAAAGTTTCAAGGAAAAAATAAGCTCACTTTTAATTCAATAACATCATTTTTTTGGTAACAGGAAAATAAAAAAAAATCTAAATGTGAAAATAAAGCCCTACTGATAAATAATTACATTTAATGGTAGCATTTCAGTAACGTTTAGGTAAAACTGTTTTAGCGAGGCTGAATGTTTGAAGAGAAGGTGAGATTTTCATTTCTATTTTTGTGTTGCTAATGATTAGTTGTTYTGATCGTCTATAATTGGATTGACTTCAAAAGTTAATTAGTTATAAATATATATCCAACGCTAAATTTCAGAGTGTTTCATTAAGATTTGTCAACTGGTTCATGAAATATTTTAGTAAGAGACAAACACCAAGCTACGATCTCACATAATTAGCAGAATGTAAAGTGTTGTAAATGACTCAGTTTCRACTTGCACAATTTAAAATGAACTGAAATGTGGTTATTTTTTGTGTTTTCCAAGACAATTTTGACTGTGGCAGCCATGTGGAACTGGGTTGAATTGTATATTTTCAAAGTATTTTCTCAAATTTAACTAAGAAACATGTTCAAGAAGCTCATGAGAAATTTTGCAGTAATTTTGTTTGAGTGGATGACAACAMCAAAAGTCCGGGACAAAACAAGTTTCAGACGTATCAGTCTGCATCAGTGCTTCTCAAATCGTGAGGCGCATCCCTCTGAGGTGGCAAAATGAGGTGTGGTTTTTAAATTTTWATCTTTTTTTTTCAGGAATTTATTGACCTTGAAGAAGGAGCACTGCAGAAATCAGGATACCTCACATAGCCTAAAGTTTAAAAGCCTTTTTTTCCCCTTCATTTAAAGGCACAGTGTGTAGGATTTGTTGTTTTCAGCGACATCTAGTGGTTG